ACGGTTTTAATTTGAAGAAGGTGGACTTGGAGTCAGAGAAATTAGGGAGTAGTGGTCCATTATTTGGGACTTGGAACTGGTATTTGCATGTTTAATTGAAGCTTTACGTTTTTGCCTGCATGACGGTCGTCATGGTGTGTGACGGTCGTCACCCGTGTGACGGCCGTCATGGCTGTGTGACGGTCGTCACAACAGCAAAATGCGCATTCTATGTTTTTCATGTTGTTTTCATTTGGTTTTCGTCCATATTTCATCTCTAATTGCTTCTTTTCTTCATATTGCTTTGTTTAGACATGATCATCAAATACCTGCAAAATATCAGACAAATAACATGGAAAGAACCCGAAATGGGATTGAAACCAGTGGAATATTAGTTGAATTATACGTCAATATATATATACGATTTCGCGTTATCACCCCGACATCTGTAGCGTCAGGGGTAACTCCGACGTCTTCATTGTTATCAGCCTCTACATCAGGGACAATTTCTTCGTTCCTATCATCCTTTTTACCTGAAAAGCAGAGGAAGCAAAAGTGAATTTGACAAAAAAGTTCAAATCCACCCTTCAACCGCAAATCAAGTGAAAGGGCGAGGAATCAGTATGAGGATATGTCCTCAACTCGAGCTCTGGTCGACAGTAACAGGGACGTAGCGTAAGTGTATCCTCAAAGAACGGGGACGAGTCTCTGCGACTCTAAGAAAGATTCCTACGGGGATGAGTCTCCGCAACCATAAGAAAGATTCCTACGGGGACAAGTCTCCTCGGCAACTAACCTCTATCAAGTGCTCGAGAATAAATTCTCGACGACGAGAGGCCTAATGCCCAACTACAAACACAAGCTAGTCCCAACAAAAACCTAGGAAGATCTGTGGAATTCTCCTACCCTGACTCCTAACACTCATCATCAGATTCATATGTTCTTCGGGATCTTCATAAAATTTCCAAAAATTCACGTGTTCACTGAAGAACACATGAACGTCAACTGGAAAATTCATACATCACTGGAACATTCATATTAAATTCATCCAAATTCCAGAAAAAACCTAAAATCTAACAAAAACTCAAAGGTTGAAGATGAAGACTTACGTGGATCTGAAGGTTAGAGATGAAGATGGACGACGACGATGAGAACTCCGATGAAGAGCACGAGTTGCAGAGAAAAGGATGTGGAGGAAGAGAAATTTGCGTGAAGTGTAAAAATGAATCATCTTGCTCTCCTTTTATAGCCACTTGCTCGCTCTGGGAAGCACAAAGGGCGGTCATCATTGCCTATATAGCCCATATCCCCTAGGCCTTAACAAAAATTGATTACGCTGTCACATGTGTCAGAGAGGAATCTTTCGTTTGGCATCCTCAAGGCTGAAACCTTGCATTTCCCAAGGCAAGATCCCTCTAGCTCTCCGCGGGCACGTCCTCCTCGATAGGGTGCATAGGATATCGTCTGAGCACAAACCTCATCAACGAGAAATTCCTTTACCTTAAGCACAAGGTTGATCAACGTAAAACATCCCTTCCGTGAGCGCGCCCTCGCACCCCCAAGGAACCCTTGGGACCATGAACAACCACTAATCGACCATACTAACTATAGACAATTAAAGGGCACATCTCAGAATATTTTCGTTCGAACAATGACAATCTCAAAAAACCTCTCTGCGACGCATTTCCTACCCATCGGTTGACCAACAAGGCTAACTCAAGTCATTACTCCTCACTTCAGAGCAACGACTTTGGGGGCTTCTAATCTGGACTGGACTGGCACATGGCCCACAGTTGGGCAGGGCCCAATCCATTCCAGCGCTAGACAAGGCCCAACAAGGAGATTAGAATAATCTAGCCGTTAGGCACAATATGATCGTTGGGCACAATATAACCGTTGGGGAGAATATAACCGTTGAGGACATCCTCCTCATGCAATTGACAATTCACGCGACCAACTGCCTTTTTGGGGTTCACGGGGATAATTGAACCAGGTCGAAGATCACACGCCAGATCTTCCATTTGGAAGTCTCCCATTGGTCGACCAAATATTTCGGCCACATTGGAGATCTTGGCCCCGTGCTGAGGGATTCTTATAAATACCATATCACTTGAGAGGGTCAAGTATCCAATTCATTCTAACACAAACCTAAACACTTAGTACTTGCTTTCTCTCCCTGTTACTTACTTTAGCATTAGAGTGTCTTGCAGGTACACCCTCCCCCTCCTCTCCTACAACCAATTTTGCTGCCTTACATTGAAGGTCATGACGATCCATTCTGATCATACCAGATCAATAATGATTATTCTTGAATAGAAAGCCCTGACGAATTATTCTTGAATATTAATGATGCTGGAAACTTTGTTGAATTAAGCTTTAGATAATGAATATGTTGATGAATATAGGATAGAAATGTTGAATCCTTGATGAATGTCGATTCAAACCCTTGAATTCTTGATAGAAGTAATGCTGAATTTTGTGAATGGTGATGGAAATGTTGCATTTTGGATGAGTTTATAATGAAGATTGTTATAGGAAAATGGTAGAAGTTTATGCTCAATTGAATGGAGTTTCAAGTGATGAAACTCCATCAACTTAGTTTGTGAGCTTTAGGTGATGGTGAGGAATTTTCATGTAATAACTTTATTATGAATTCATGGTCCTTAGAATGATGAAAAATAACATGTTTATATAGGTATTGTGGTTGAATGACGACCCTTAGATTGTGATCTAAGTAAAATTTTTATCAATGGTTAGAAATTAATTTAAGGTTTAGTTGCGGATCACTACTTCCAATCCTTGGATTGATTTTTATGAATGGGTAGGATTAAATGGAGATTTGGTTGAAAATGAAAGTTGTAATTTGTGTTAATTTGGTAGTTATGATGATTCAAAGTTAATTATGTAATTGAATGATTGTGAATGCATAAGTAGTTAGAGACAAATGATGCTTGGTTTTTGAAAAAGTACCAAGTTGAAATGTATGATAGGAGGTCATTGGTGAATATGCATGAAACTTAGAATTTTTGAATGCTTTTTTGCCTTTGGTTTTTTTTGCCACTTTTTCCATGAATTTTTGGTGAATCATTCCACGACTTTAAGTACTTTTGAGATGTAATTTTGCATTGAAAAAGTGCACTTTTGAATGGTGTAAACTTATGGATCAAATTTTGAATTTTTGGGCATGAATCAATATTGGAAAGTGTTGGAAAAACAAGTATTGAATTTAAGGAATAATGCAAAATTGTCCTTTTATTTCTTGAGTTTTCATGACTTTTCCATAACTTTTTGATGATTTAACTTCATGATATGAATGTCTAACTTGACGTACCTTCTTACTTGTAGCAAAATGAGCATTGTGATGGAAGAATGAACTTGAAGCAATATTGAAAAGTGAAGAACAAGTCATGGAAGTGAAGCTTGATAGAAAATAAAATTTATTGGAAATTAGCATTTAACATAATCACTACATAAGTCATTTTTAATGAATAATGATGAATCCTTTAATCAAATGTTTGTAGAATAGGTCTAGGAATATCCAGGAGTCAAAATCGAGTCAACGGTTAACCAAAAGTCAACAGTTGGCCAAAAGTCAACTATTTGATCAAAAAGTCAATTGTACCCAATAGATGTAGTTTTTTTTACCCTCTTTTCTTGTAATCCATTCCTTTGATTTGTATCTCAAGCAATATGCATTGTACCATGAATCTCCAATAAATGGGTGAAATCTTCTTTTTATTCCAACTTTGTCCTTTTCTTTGAATTCAAGTAATATTCTAAATCAAATAACAATCATTTCAATTCCACTGCTTGCAATGAATCACAAATAAAGATATGATCCGCACCATAAGTAATATGAGAAATAAACCCAAATAATTACCAAATAACATTCACCTCGAAAATTCAGTTAAACTGATTAAATCCATTATTATTGAACCTTTGGCCCACTGATGAATCATGCGAAATGCGATGAATGAAATGCTAAAACGAATGACCTAATTGGATAACTCGATAACCATGCAAATGATTTAAGTATGAGGCAGATAAAAATAAAAATAGGTAGATTAAATTTTGGGATATGACACACACGCATGATAACACATCTATTTAGTAAGAGAATATATGTCAATTAAAATATATAATGAATAAATCAGCTATAGATAGCATAACTCGATTAAAATTTCAAAAGTTAGCATAACTCGATTAAAATTTCAAAAGTTCAAATAAAAGATTGTAAGTAAAATATACAAAGTCAATGGTAAAGAATTGAGTGAAATTTGTAGAAAAATCATCCACCTTAAGCGCACATAAGGAGAACACGCTGAATTATTGGACTATCCAATTTTTTTAGAGGTGGGCTAAAAATTCAGTACGAGATTTATAAAATTCGAAAAACTGAGAAAAGTACCAGAATTTCCTAAAAAATTTGACAAAAATTCATATCGATTTTTTAAAAATCTAGAAAAGTTCATGCTAATTTTTTAAAATTCCAATAAAAGTGCAAATTTTTTCTAAATTAGTGAAAAATTTCCGATTTTTTAAAATAGACCATAAGATTTTTTTATTGATTCTTTTAAGATTGAATATTTTTATTAGTATAACTTATGCATGGATAAATAGTGACAAGATAATTTTGTCGTATTTAAAAAATGTGAGAGTGCCATAAATAAATTTAGGGTGCAAATGTGAGAGTGCCAGAAATAAATTGGGGATATTAGGTAAATTTCTAAAAATTTTCATTTTTTATTGAAAATTTTGATAAATAAAATAAAATTTCCGATAATGAATTTTTTCTTTTTATCTGTTTCAAATTTTTTCAAAGTAAACTTGGGAGCATGAAAATTTTAGATATCAGATATAATTTTGGGGGCGGTAGTTTAAATTCTCAAACTCGGCAAATAGATCCAATAAAAACGGACCAAAAGAATAATAAAGGAAAATAAAAGGCGTAGGTACTACTATCACACTCCATTTCTGCCAGAAGTGTGCGTGAGAGAGAGAGAAACAGAAACCGATCGAAGATGTTTTTCCGTGCGGTGGCGCGGCCATTGATGGCGAGGATAAAGCAAACAACAGGGATCGTCGGGCTAGACGTTGTTCCAAACGCGAGAGAGGTTTTAATAGGTCTTTACAGTAAGACGCTTAACGAGATCCAGAAGGTTCCAGAAGATGAAGGGTATCGTAAAGCTGTTGAAAGCTTTACAAATCACAGGCTTAAGGTTTGTCAGGAAGAACAAGATTGGGAGAAAATTGAGAGTCGTCTTGGTTGTGGTCAGGTTGAAGAACTCATTGAAGAGGCTAGGGATGAACTCAAACTCATTGGCTACATGATTGGTATTTTTTCTCTTTTTTCTTTTTGCATTTGAAGAAATTTTGAATGCATTGTGAGTTTGTTGTGAATTTGTATTATTGCTTCTTTGTGTGTTACATATTGGGAAATTATTTGAAGGAAATTCCTTTTGTTGAAAAATTGGGAATATGTTTAGGGGAAATTAGGGTTTCATGATGCTAGTATTCAATGGTGTGTTGTTTAGAATCTGCTCAATCTTATTGGGATGTGCAGGTTGTGTTTCTTCTGTATTATATTCAGCTGTTCTAAGATTACAATGTCTATTAGGCATGCATAATGCTCTTGTTTTGTTATTCATCATACTTCTTTATCAACGAATTGGAACATTTTTTAAGAATCGTCTGATAGGTTTGCTATGCATAGCCTGTCCCAAGCCTGGATAAAAGGAAAGAGCCATGTTAAGCAGTAGACAACCAATGTAAAACTTTGTTGAATCTCTATGACATGGATCAACTACAAAATTGCTAAAGTTGATCCATGTAGCCTACCCCACTTAGTGGGATGAGGCTTGGTTGTTGTTGTTTGTTTGTCTGGTACATAATGATGATCACTTTCTAATAAAACTGATATAAAGAAAATCATAGTTTATGGAAACACCTCACATACCCAGTTATTCCCTATGGATTATTGAAATCAACAATACTAGTCTGGTAAATCACACCCTTTTGAAGCAGGATGTTTGCTTACCAATATTAATTGTTGGACTAATGTATGCTGTTCATTCCTGTGGTGTGATGGATTTGTGGGTATTTTGCTTCTTATTTGTGTGTTTTACCTTTGTAGAGTTTGTGTGAATCAGGACTCAAGGAAAGACGTAAATGAAAATATGTTTTTAATGGAATTTTTAAAAATTTCCAGTTCCTTTTTTCCTTTATATATCATAGCCATTGTGTCCATGCTTTGTAACAAAAAAAATGATACATATGCTGGTAAACATTGAAAATCTGTTGCACTAAAATACACCGAAGTTTACTGATCAGATCATGCACAGTAAATACAACCTAGGTTACTTTCATTAAAAAATGACATATTTGTGAACTTTAATGTAGCAACGACAGCCTAAACGTGACCGAGTGCTTGACTTATGTCAGTATCTAGTACTGCTGGATATGCAATTATAATCAGTACGTTCAATTTTCTAAAATTATTCCCGGTGTCTCCTTGTCATTGTGGATGCCGTGTTTAATGTATGTGATTGTGTCAGTGCATAGAATGTACATAAACCCAGACCCCTAAAGATATCCTAGAGTCCCTGACACAATACGTGCCCACCCTTGCTGCAAGACTTCATCCAAAGTTAGTTTACAGCTGCTATAGCAATGCTACAGCACTCTAGTGTAATGTAACTTGATCAAATTGTTATTTCTTGCAATATGCAACTGAATAAAAATCTAAATTAACCACCAAATTCGAAGCCATTATCCTATACTTCAAGTCATATACCCTTCGAACAACCTAATCTTGATGCCTTTTCTTTCTTTTTCCGTTTTTGCATTGTAGAACATTTGAAATCATAGTATTTTTTTCTTTAATGTTTTATTGAGTTTTTTTATATTTTATTTATTTTTCATTGATTTGTGTTTTTATGGAGGGTAGGAAATATGAAGATTTTATTTAAATAATTGTAATAATTGATTTTGTATCAACCAACTAAGTAATTTGTTTTAGTGTAATGTTAGTCAGATCAATTGTTGATTAAATAATCAATTATTCTAAGTGGTTGAAGTATCAACACTTGATGAAGCTAAATTCATTGATTTTAGGTGACTTCATTTTGGTTGTAGTGGTGGTAGTTGTTTGTTGTTTTGATTTATAGATTTTTTTATGTTGTGTGTTTTGGTTACTGTTTGTATGTTTTTTAATGTGAAAGAGAACAACAATGAATGAGAAATGGTAGGCTATGGGAGCTATTTTGTGAAATTGCATGTTTATTATTTCTTCCGTGGTTTTTTAACCTCTTGTTACAAATTGGTGATGGTGAAAAACTGGCATATTTATTTGAGGGAAATATGGGGTGATGTTAAAATTATGTTTCTTCTGTATTATCGGCTGGTCTAAGATTAAGATATATATTAGGAGCGCATAGTGCCTTGGTGTTTGTTCTTAATCACATTTCTTTATCAATGAATTGAATTTTTTTTTAGAATTGCCTAGTACAGAATGACCACTTTCTGATCAAGCAGATAAAAAGAAAATCATAGTATTTGGCACCACCTCAGATGCCCATTTATTCCCTTTCCATTGAAATCAACAATACTAGGCTAGAAAACACACTCTTTTGGTACTGACTCTTAGCTTACCAATGCTAAATGTTGCACTGATGTACGTTGTTCATTCCTGTGGTGTGATGGATTTGTGGGCATTTCGTTTCATATTTGTGTGTTTTGAGTTTGTGTGAATCAGGACCCGAGGAAAAAAGTAAATGCAAATGTGTTTTTTCCTGAATTTTTAAAATTTCTTGTATCTGTTTACTTGTTATATCATATCCATTTTGGGTGTCACTATCATTTGAAAATTATGAAATATTTGTGAAAGTCTATGTGGAACCCTCGCTTTGAAGACGTGCTGACACATGTTGGTGTTCGATACTAGAATGACATGGAGATGTGTGGTTACATTTACTCATTTCTATATTCTCAAATTATCATCCGTATGTACGACATTGTAGTGTTGTGTTCAATGTCCTTGTGTGCTTTAGATATTGTCGAATCCCCGACACAGTACATATCCAAGACCTACAATCAAAATCACTGCATAGGATCTATTCGTCCTTGTAACGTACATATTCATGACTTAACCTTCGCCCTAGTTCTCTACCATGTCCTTATCTGAGTCTTCCTTCAGTCTCAATTTTTTTCAGTGGTTTTTTGTACTCATTTTTCAGTTTGTTCTCTGATTTTTTCTTACTGCATAACAAAAATTAAGTTACATCTTTTAGTTGCAATTATTATGGTGAAAAGTTTTTGCATAAATTGATTAGGAAAAATTTATTTCTATGACCTATATATTGTAATATTGGATTGCAGAATGGGATCCCTGGGGTATCCCTGATGATCACGAAATTGAGATGGTTGAAAATGATGCATCAATTCCGAAGCATGTTCCTCAACACCGACCACTTCCTCTCCCTAAGGAATTTCGAGAAACGTTAGAGGCACTTATGTCTCAACCAGGAATGACAGAAAAGCTAGAGGCTCTTGTGTCTAAATCAGTAAAAGATAGTGCTGTTGCCAGCTCTAGTGAAGAACCCTCAAAGCCAAAGCCATGAACTTCAGCTATTTTGTAGCTTTAAATTCTCCATTTCAATGTGCTTTTCATTTTATTGCATTATTAAACTAAAAACTGTTTGTGTCAAGTAGTTTCAGGGACAAATCCTCTGCTCCAAAACAACTTCGACAGTTTGAAATAACAAAGATATAACATTGTACTCTATGCATGACATGATTTTTGATACTAAGAGCTTTTCATAAAGAACTATATGTAGAATAAGCAGAGCATGCAGCTTATTTTTTGCTCCTTCGGTTTAAGAAATGCACCAAACTCGGTTGATTAGCGAAATTGGATTGGAATTATTTACTATGTCTCCTTGCAAAGTCAGGCAACATTTGCCATGTCCTTTAAGGGTCCTCGTCTTTAGAGTATTTCTATTGGGATGATTAAGTTGCGGAGAAATCATTATTATTATATTTGTAATTAAAATTACGATCATATGTAGGGATGTCAACGGAGCAGTAAATGCGTGGAGGATGTTTTTTTGCTCTTTGTCCTGTCACCCAATATTTTCTCCATCCCTGTCCACGTCCTCTGCCACGTGAAAATGTTTTTTTCCCATTCCCACAAATTCTCAAAATTAGAGATCTACAGAGATCGAATTATAAAAAAATTATATATTTTTTTTATATTAAAACTATGACACTAGTGTTTAGTTTTTTTCTTCTTCTTTTTTTAAAACATGTATATTGATTTTTTAATAAATAAAAACAAATCTTAAATTAATAACAAACAAATGCAAAAACACTTGCTGTTACAAAAACATAATCACTAATTTATTAATTGAATAAAAATTAGCTTGATAATTGAAGTATATTGAAGTTGAAGAGTAATTACCATAAGCACAATGAAAAAATGAGAGTAGTTGTTTTGGTGTTGATGAGAATAGAGGAGATGAGGAATGAAGGAGACACAGAGAATTGAGAAAAAATAAAGAAGAGGAAAGGGGGTATACATTGTAAGTATTGAGTGCATTTTTCTAGGATGAGGTACTTCAATAGTGAACCAACACATTATACAATAAAACAAAAAAATATCTACTCATGGCTCTTCATTTCCTAATATATTAATTAATTTTTTACAAAATAAACATGCCAAATTATATAATTATATATTATATAATATAAAGTTAAATATTATGGTCGGGGTTGGGGAATTCGTGGGGCAGAGGGTACTTCTCCAATCCCCGCACTAAAGTGTCATCGGAAGAACTTTTTCCTCCATCCCCATCGGGGGAAAAGATCATCGACTTCGGAGCTCCAAATAGATAATCTCCACAGGGATCCTCGTTAACGGGTGCAAATTGACATCCCTAATCATACATGTTTTGCTCAACTTTAACAATCTTGATCCACAATATTGTGCACGTTAACATTATGTGCTTCATTATATTTATGTGTCAAGCATGAGCTGTACTAGGTACAATTGTGAATCAAGTCTTGAGCATTCTGAACACATGTTCAACATCCTTTCATGCTAATTTTTGTCGTTTGCGAATAACTCTCTTTTCCTTGCGGATAGGCATTGTATTGATAAAGGAAATTTCTTATTACATCACATGTATAACTTACCTACCGTGTGATTTTTCACATATGCCTCCAGATTCTTAAGATATATCTCCGGACGTGCCTCATGGCTGACTAAACATTAATAATCTTTCGGAGATATATCTCCGGAAAAATTTAAACCTTAAACGATCACATCATATCTCCCATAGTCCATTTCCATTTGAATATTTTCGGAGATGCATCTACGGGAAATTTCTGGAGATACATCTCCGAAGTGTATCAGAACAAGTTTTTTTTATAAAAATGCATTGTATATTTGTTCACATATGAATCATAAAATAACAGACATACCAAAATAATATAACAATATAGTAATACGATGTCATATGTCACAAAAATCCAAAATGTAGTAACAATGTCAAGAAAAACGTACAAACTATAGTACTGAAACAAAAAAATACAGACAACTACTGGGTGTGCCTGACAACCTCTCCTTTGTCTGGTCTTCCGCCTCCTCTGCCTGGTCTGCCTGGTCTGCCTGCTCGGTCATCGACCCCCTTGTCCTCGTGCGATGTCTGCGGTACAACAGTGTCCCTTGTGCCTTCGCAATAATGTCATCCAGTACTCGCCTAACAGCAGACCCCTCAAGGAAGATACTCTCGTCAATGCCTGCCCACACCATCTCTATTATGCGACGACAACGAGGCAAGGCATCTTCAGTATGATCCACCTGAGCCTGCTGCTCCTCAAGACTATCCTGATGAGTTGGTCTTTGCGAATCTCCTAGAGTAGTCGGTACCATGTACATATGTGAGATAGTGAAGAACCACCCGATATATCTGTCGACATAGCTCCAGTCATTCGGCGCTATGGTAGCCCGAGCCTCATCTAATACCAGATGACTCTGATAATCAACAAACATCTCGTCAATCTGTATACGAGTCAAGACAGAAGGATCGGAGACAACAGAGTGTCTAGGGATGGTCTGAGTGTACACGAACTGCCGTATGACGCGCTCGAACAGATGCAAAACAATGATACGCGATCCGCATGCCAACCATCCAGAGTATAGCAATATGTCGTCAAAAGGTCGCGTCTGATGGTGATCCACGTAGCAGTTGAAGTGTATGTCCTCAACAACCAAGCGGTCAAGATAGACTCTGAAGGGCTCGACCGCTTAGTTCTCTCTCAGCGGGATAAAAGCACAGACACAGGGCATCTATAACACCCTTCTATACCCCAAAACAATAAACTGATATTTTAATTAGACAACATAATCACAAGGGTATCATACACATCAAAACACATAACCTGCTCCGTAATACGGGTTACCACATAAATAAATTCAAATGCACATACTTATACCTAGGATGTTACACGACATCCAACACATCTGATTTGCACTTGGGATGTTACACGACATCCAACACATCTGATTTGCACTTGGGATGTTACACGACATCCAACACATCTAATTTTGGTCAAGTACTTGTATAGTAAAGCATTCAGTACCTGTTCTCGCATGCTCACCCAAGAATTTGCGGTATCATTGCAGCATAATCATTAATAAACATGCAACAATAGTATTGTAACACAAGACATTAAGTCTTATGAATTTCAACTTAATAAGATAATCAAAAGAGTATGGCAATCAACTCAAAACAACTTTAAAATCTCATAAACACAAAAAGTTTGTAACGTCGACAACAGTGACACAAAAAATCAAACAAGCGTTTATCCCAAACCGATGTTACATGACCAGAGCAAGGAACCACTAAATAAAAGAGATAAACTATGGAAGTCACTTCAAGAGCTACCCTTCCACTTACTTCAGTCATAGCTATTCCTGAGTTTCTGCACGATACCCATGTAAAGACAACATTCAAACAGAAGGGGTGAGAATCCGATTCAATAATAATGGTAAAAGACAATCGAAATTAGATTAATCTAACAACATCACACACCAAATACAACAACATAGGCATATCGAGTATTCTCATCCACACAACATAACATCAAATAATCACTAAAATGCAACACAAATGCAAATGTACTCGACAACTGATTCGACATGCATGTGGTACCAAATTATGAACACTTAGGTCCATTTCACTCCACGATCTCCATCATAGGATCGATTCCCTCTTGGAACCGGATCACACCAAAATCGCTACCATCACCATCGACAACACTTCACTAATTCCTCAATAGAATTAGCTACTCGCACTTGATCCCCACCGATCAAGGCTCACCAAAATTGGACTGAAGTTCGTAAACCATGATGCATGAATTCACAATAACATGCAATATCATCAAAATGATCATCGAATTAAACACTAAAATAATCACCAAAATAATCATTCAAGAATATAATCAAAATTATCATCCAAAGTTATAACTCGAGAGAGTTTTCAAGAAACTCTAAACAACTCTACATCAATCCTTACAATTCTAAAACAACTCTAAAGTGTTCAAAAATGCTCTACTGACAACTATTTCTCATAAAGATAACTCTTATGGATTCAATCCGCACTCTAACAATTTTATGGTCAACTCTAACAAAATTGAAAATAATTTAAATTGACAAAATAATCCAATTGTTTATCTCTAACTCATAACTCCAAAAATATATTATACTAATAATACTAAATTATTATTATTATTATTATTATTATTATTATTATTATTATTATTATTATTATTATTATTATTATTATTATTATTATTATTATTAAAACATTATATATATATTTATATATAACTTGAAAACTATATAGGTATATATTAGTAACCTGAACATATGTATTTCTATAACAATTAAAAGTTACAATTTGCATATGCATTGTAATAGCGAAAAGCCAAGGTGAAAAGTTACGGCGGAATTCTTAATATATATATATATATATATATATATATATATATATATATATATATATATATATATATATATATATATATATATATATATATATATATATATATATATATATATATATATATATATATATATATATATATATATATATATATATATATATATATATATATATATTTTTTTTTTTTTTTGGTATAATGGTCTAAGCAATATTTATTATAATATATTAAAATCGAGTTATGAACTATTGTTTTGACAAGTTATTCAATTATTTACCACATCATTAAAAATATAATGTGGCACTCTTCAAATCACAATCTTTCAAAATTTTAATTATTCATTAGAGAAAGATGTGTAACATTTTATTTATAAAATTATATTAATTAAAATACATTTATTTTTATATTCCATGAGTCATATCTCCTAATATTTCTCTAACTAAAACTCATGTATATCTATTGATTTATTTTCTTTGTCTTTCCATAAGTAAAATTACATACTTGTACAAATTCTACATTCAAATACATCAAAACATATATTACTATAAGTTACATACTTGTACAAATCGTTTATCAACCATACATCAAAACTCAAATTATTAAACTTTCACTCTAC